TTTGTTTTGGTTATGCTTCAAAGAAAGGTTTATGTTTAAAAACAAAAGTTGTGACTTCAAGCCAAATTTGCATGAAATTAGAAGACTTAAATGGCAAGCATATATGTATTAGTCATATTTCTGATTGCGTGTTATGCCCTTATCCTTATTATACCTTTCTCATCTATTTTACTTTATATTATTTTCCATCTTTTGTGTATTTATCTTTGTGGACTGAAACTTAATGCCATTTGCAAATAAAGCAAAAAATAAATATTATGAATATATTTGATTTCACAATCCCCAACTGTAGGTAACATCTAACTAAAGCAGTAATTACTCAAAATAGTAATAAAAATCACTCACATAATTCTAGATTATAGTCAAGCTTCTTGTAACTGAAGGAAAGTAAAGAACTGATCAGGTAGATTAGAGACACAGTCATCATATTTTGTTGATTCTTTCCTCAGACTGATCACTAACTCCTCACTCCTCCATTCTTACATCACTGCCATAGTTCAGGTTTTTATTATCTATTGCCTCGGTTACTGAGATTAAATCTGAATACTGTTGAGTTTCTATTAGCAAGTTTTGAATGATATTTCTCAAACATCAATGTAACGGGAATATTCTCACTTCCTCTTCACTTATATTTATACAATCCTTCCACAATTATAACTAATTTGAAATTTTCCCTTTGTTCAAATGGGAATAGTAAAAAAGGACTAATTACTGAATATTCCAGATAGGACAATGTTCATTGCTATACTATAGGTAGTGAGAAAATGGTTTCTTTTCTCAAATGCTTCTAATGACTACTGGCAAGTAAAATTTTTCTATCTGTACAATAAATTCCTAAGCTACATATCAGTTTGCTTCCTCACTTGTCTCATAAAAGTGCCCTTATCTTTCAACTTACCACTCACAACTACTTGGAAATCTTTGTCCCTCATTGACATATGTTCTTTTTCTAAAGAGGCTTTATTATACTACAGCCTTTCTCTTTATAAACCTTAATCTTGTTCTTCTTTTAGGTAACTTTCATGACACAATACTCTCCAAGTTCTCAAGCTTTTGTTTCAACTTTTAAGTAATATATACAGAATATATTCTTCTTGAAACATTTTTGAAGATTTTAGATGTAATTCCTTCTCAACTGCCTACCACTCAGTATTCAGTTTAAGTTTGATCCTTCCTGACTCTCCCTCCCTGTATTTTGTTTATTTATTTATATATTTATTTATTTTTTGAAACGGAGTCTTGCTGTGTTGCCCAGGCTGGAGTGCAGTGGTGCAATCTTGGCTCACTGCAACCTCCACCTCCCGAGTTCAAGCAATTCTCCTGCCTCAGCCTCCTGAGTAGCTGGGATTACAGGCACGCACCACCAAGCCCGGCTAATTTTTGCATTTTTAGTAGAGACGGGGTTTCACCATGTTGGCCAGGCTGGTCTTGAACTCCTGACCTCAAGTGATCCACCCGCCTTGGCCTCCCAATGTGCTGAGATTATAGGCATGAGCCACTGTGCCCGGCTCCTCCTGGCATTTTAAAAACAATACTTCTATATGTCTAGCCACAGAAAGTATAACGTAATTAAGTTTCTTATACATAAACTAAACATATTGTTTTGCAACTTCTTTCACTTATTGTTTTTGAGAGCAATTTATGTTGATGAATACAGATTTAATTCTTCTTTTGATTTTTTTTTTTAAATTTTTTGAGACCAAGTCTCGTTCTGTTGCCCAGGCTGGAGTGCAGTGGTGCGATCTCGGCTCACCGCAACCTTGGCCTCCCAGGTTCAAGCGATTCTCATGCTTCAGCCTCCCACCTCCCAAAGTGCTGGGATTACAGGTGTGAGATATGGCACCCGGACTAGCTCTTCTTTTAAAACTGTTATGTGGAAGTGGGCAAATTACTTAACTATTGATCTGTTTTCCACCATTGTTTTGCTGGTCTGTTCTTTGAGGCTTCACTAAATTGTACAAGGATAGTATCTCTTTCAAAGCTAAATCTATGTTTTTTCAAAAAGCCTGTCTTCTGTTTCTCAATGTTTTATTACCTCTCTATGTTAACAATCCCTAAATCCCAATCCCCACGGCCAAACTTAACCAAACTAAATCTCAATTCAAGGTACTCAAAAGTACCTGTTCTGGGCTTCTTCCCTATCACTTGAAATGCATGAAGCCTACACTCGTGCACTGTCTGAACTTCAATAAGCCAAAAAAATTTTTTATGGAGAATGGCTTGAAGAACAGTAAACGTAGAGACAAGGAAGCATTTTAGTATGTGATTACTCTAACAGATCAAGACAGAATGACATGGGCCTGAAGAGGGACAACAATAATATGGATGGAGAGGGGAAACAGATTTGAGAGACTTCTCAAACAAAGAACTGATGGGCTTGGTGACCAATGTGGGGAAAGGGTCAAGATGACTCCAAGATATTTGGTTTGAGTAACTGGATATCTCTGACTGAGTGTCATTCAGTAAAGCAGGGAATATTGGAGGGCATGCTCATGAGTCTGGTCTTGAGCCAGAGGAGCCTGCATGACATCAAGGTGAGGATCCATGAGCTGGCTGAATATGAAGAAAAGATCTGATTACAGATGGTAAGTGATAAATGAAAGCATGAGAGTGGAAGAAATTAACCTAAATTGGCAGAGAGTAGAAACAGACTTAGGAAGAAAGAAATAAAAAAACATATCAAACATAAATCCTTTACTTACCTTCTTCTAACCTGGGTCTCCTTCCAAGCCTCTCCATTCTTATCAATGAGCCTCTCTTTGCTTAAATTTTTCCCACTCCTTTGGCTCCTATATTCAGTGACTGCATAGAGCAGTGGGTAAAACCATGGACTCTGGAGCCCTATTTCCTAGGATCAAAACCCTGCTCAACTACTTTCTGTGTAACCTCGAACCACTCTGCTTCAATGTTCCCACCTATCAACAGGAACTTATTTCATACGGTTGTTATGGAAAATAAATGATTTAATTTTTAAAGAGCTTAGAACAGTGTCTGGAATGTACCCTATAAGCATGTGTTAGATATACAAATAAAGCCTGTCCATTTTCTTTGTGAAATCCTTTATAGATGCCCTATTCTTATTCCCATTTAACACCAAACCAACTGAGCTGCCTAATATTTCATAGAGTACCACCTCATCACTGCACTAAACTGCTTTTTAAAAGGTCACTAATGACCTCTTCATAAAGAAATGAAATACTCTCCCCTCCCCCAAGTCTCCAGATGCTCTGCATGAATTGATCCAGTGGTCTCTCCTCAAAATTCCCTTCTCTTGATTTCTGGGCCTTCTTGCTTGCTGTAACCCTGCACTCCTACACTTTATTGCCTACCTCTGTTTCTGCTACTCTGCTTACTACTACTGGCTCCAATTCCTCTTTCTGCTTCAGAAATGTAAGCATTACCCCCCAAATTTCCTTCTTTTTCAAAATTCTCTTCCTGATGCCAGCTATTCCCATGGCTTCCACTTCTATGCTGATAACTCAAACTTTTACCTCTAGTGACAATGTTTAGGCTGAGCTAAAGATTTGCATTTCCAACTCTATGCTGGACAGCTCTATGTGTCTATCGCATTAGGCCTTTAATTCAACATGTCCAAAAAATGAATTCATAATCTACACTAAGCTCATGGCTTTATTTCTGATAATGGCATCACCATCCTTCAGCTCAGAGGTCTAAAACCTAAGAATTAGATTTGGTCCCTCTCGCTTCTTCAGCATTCAGTTAATTATGGAGTCTTGACATAATCATCTCCAGTAAACTTGTCTTCTTACCAATGACACCATTTTAACTGTATTTCAGGAATTCTTTGCTTCTCACTAGGCTGATCCCATTGCCCCTTCAAAAGAATCTCCGATAAGAGTTCCTAGGTTTCAGCTAAAGAGTCTAAATGCAGTTAATAGAAAGTCCCTTCTCTATGGGCTTTCTACAGAACAAAATGATTTCCTGCAGTGCAAATCTGACCATATCAATCTTCTGTTCAGAACTCTTCAAAAAACTACCCATCTCCTTTAGGATTACACCATTCACCATCTGGACCTCAGTCGACTTTCCCAGTCTCATATCCATTCTGTGCATAGGAATCCCCCCATTTCCTCCTCTTCCCACACAAGTTATGCTCATTTCTCCACAGTATTGCAGCTGTTTTCCCTGAAAAACTCTTCAGCACTTTACTCTCTCCAAGTACAATTCAGACATCACTTTCTTTCTAAAGCCTTCTCAGCAACTGTCCCTTGAGCAGTTAACACATATGTGACTGATACATACATATATATATACACACACACATAGGAGTACTTATTTATTCAGATATGGCTCCCAAACTTAATCCTGAAAACTGGAACAATATCTTGCGAATCTCCAGTGTCTGGCATAGCGCCAGTAATATAAAAGGTGCTGCGGCCAGTGGCCAAGTAGGGGAAAACCCCAGCAAAAGGGTAACCTAGCACTCACAGCGATTCTCAAGTACTGGCACTGAATGCCTGGGCTTCAGCTGGCTCCCGAGGCTCGTTTTAATAGGGCCTCACACCTCTGGTACTTCTTATAAGATGTCAGAGTCAGGCCCCCAAGCCAACTGCTGGGCCCTCAGCTGGGGTCCTAGGAGGCGGTCCCAGGGGCATCCTCAGGCTCCCCACTCCAGTCACAGGAAAGGGAAAGGGGCGGGGCGCAGCGTGGGCCGGGCCAAGGGCTCCTCAAGTCCCCAGGGGCCTAGGCCAGCCTCTCGGCTCCCATCCCAGTGCAGGTCCCGGCTGATCCAGGGCCCCAGGGGGGTTCCATTTTGAGAGACCCCGCACCCCAGCCCGGCGCTCCGGCCGTCTCCGCACTTACAGACCCGGGGGAAGGCCGCCGTCAGGATCCGGCACCGCCAGGAGCTCCGGCCCCTCGGGGCTCCGGGAAGGGGGAGGGGCAGGGAACCCGAGCCAAAGGGGGACCCAACGGAACCGGAAGGGCAGCCCTGGCCGGACAAAGACAACTTCCAGGTCCCATGGTCCTCTCCGCCAATCGGAAGGCTCGGAGGACAACGGGGCCCCGAGAGGGAATTTCTGCGTTGTGGGCGGGGCGCAGACGGAGGGCGCCGTACTCTCGGCGCTAGCTTCACTGCATACTACCTCAAGGTGCGGTAGCCAGTTAACGTCTGCGGCTCAGGCCCTGTGCTCCTCTCAGGCACCTGCTGCCCGGGACCCCCGTCTCAGCGGCTCTTCTGCAGCTGGGCCTAGACGCTCCGCTGCCTCCTTGGGCCTGAGGGGCTCCTCTGTACTTAAACTTTGGTAAGTCCTTCTCGCCTAGGGGTGTAGACTCGTCGCTCGCGAGCCCGAGAAGCAGAACGCTGTCCCCTCACTTTTGAATGTTTTTCAGGGATCTTGCCTGGGGGTTCTTCCTAGGGCAATCTCTTGCATTCCCATGGCTTCCGTTACCTACTTCATGCTGACCATTCACAACCCAGCCAGCTACATGGACGAGATCTCCAATTGATTGTGCTGATGTGTATGTACCTTTTAATTATCTCCAGTTCATCTCATCTCCTATCCAGACCGGAAAACTTGAGGATCCTTCTAGAGTTCTTTTCCTTGCCAATCCAGTTTACTGGTTTCTGCCCATTCTTTTCGTTTTTGGTGGTGGTGAGGGGCTTTTTATTGTGGTAAAAGATGCGTAATGTTTATTACTTTAATCATTTATAAAGTGTATAAAGCTTGATGGTCTTGAACTCTGGAGTTCAAGTGATCCGCCCTCCTCAGCCTCCCAAAGTGCTGAGATTACATGTGTGAGCCACTGCTCCCAGCCTTTCCCTCTTTTTAATGTAGTTATTTACAACTATAAATTTCCCTTTGATCACTGCTTTCACTACAGCTCAGAAGTTTTGTATGTTGTGTTATTTTCATTCATTTCTATGTATTTTCTAATGTCCCTTTTGATTTCTTTTGTTTTTTGTTTTTTGGTTTTTTTTGAGATGGGGTTTTGCTCTTGTTGCCCAGGCTGGAGTGCAATGGTGTGATCTCGGCTCACCGCAACCTCCGCCTCCTGGGTTCAAGCGATTCTCCTGCTCTCGCCTCCCAAGTAGCTGGGATTACAGGCATGCGCCACCACGCCGGGCTAATTTTATATTTAGAGACATCAGACGGGGTTTCTCCATGTTGTTCAGGCTGGTCTCCAACTCCCGACCTCAGGTGATCCACCCGCCTTGGCCTCCCAAAGTGCTGGTATTGCAGGTGTGAGCCACCGTGCCCGACCTTGATTTCTTCTTTGACCCAGTGGTTAAGAGTGTTAACTTTCAGATATTTGTGACCTTTCCAGTTATCCTTCTTTTATTAATTTCTAACTTCATCTGTGTGGTCCGAGAAGATGCTTTGTATGACAGCTATCTTGTAAAATATTCTGCAACTTGAATTGTGGCATACAGTCTGGTGAATTCCTCATGTACTTTAGAGAATAATGTGTATTCTGCTCTTGCTGGGTGGAATGTTCTCTATATGTCTTTTAAGTATAGCTGGTTTATTATGATATTTAGTTCTCTATTTCCTCACTTATCTTCTATCTGATTCTTCTCCCCATTATTGAAAACGGGGTATTGTAGTCTCCCACTATTATTGTAGAACTGTTTATTCTTTTAATTCTGTCCATTTTTGGTTCATGTATTTTGAGAGTCTGTTTCTAGCTAGGTAAATGCGTACAATTTTTATATCATCTTGTTGTAATGAGATTTTTATTAATATATGATGTCTTTATCTCTTATAACATTTTTAAATTTTAAAATATTTTGTCTAATCGTAGTATAACTACATCAGTTCTTTTTCAGTAACTATTTGCATGTTATATCTTTTTTCATTAAATTATTATTAGTATTATTTGAGAGGGAGTCTCACTGTGTCACCCAGGCTGGAGTGCAGTGGTGCCATTTCAGCTCACTGCCACCTTCGCCTCCCAGGTTCAAGTGATTCTCCTGCCTCAGCTCCGGAGTAGCTGGGATTACAGGCGCCTGCCACCACGCCTGGCTACTTTTTGTAAATTATTATTATTATCTGAGACAGAGTCTTGCTCTGTCGCCCAGGCTGAAGTGCAGTGGTGCAGTCTCGGCTCACTGCAACCTCCACTTCCTGGGTTCAAGCGATTCTCCTGCCTCAGCCTCCCGAGTAGCTGGGATTACAGGTGCACGCCACCACGCCCAGTTAATTTTTGTGGTTTTAGTAGAGATGGGGTTTCACCATACTGGCCAGGCTGGTCTCAAACTCCTGACCTCGTGATCTGCCCACCTCAGCCTCCCAAAGTGCTGGGATTACAGACGTGAGCCACTGCGTCCAGCCCTTTTTCCTTAAATTTTTGAAAAAAATTTTTTTTTGTAGAGACCAGGCCTTGCTATGTTCCTTAGGCTGGTCTTGAACTCCTGGCCTCAAGTTATCTTTGTTCTCCCTAAGTACTGGGACTGCAGGTGTGAGCCACTGTACCTGGCTCTTTTTCTAACCTTTCATTTTCAAGCTATTTGTGTCTTTGGATGTCAAGTGATTCTCTTGTAGATAGTATTTAGTTGGATCATGTGGATTGTGTGTGTATTTTTAAAATTAATTTGCCCTTTCTTTTTAAAAAATAAATATAATTTTAGATACAGGGTCTCACTCTGTCGCCCAGGCCGGATTGTAGTGGCACAATCATAGCTCATTGAAGCCTTGAACTCCTGAGCTCAAGTGGTCCTCTCGCCTCAGCCTCCCAAAGTAGCTGGGACTACAGGTGTGCAACACCACACTTGACCCGACCCTCGCCTCCCTTCCCCCCTCCCCTCCCCTCCCCTCCCCTCCCCTCCCCTCCGCTCCCTTCCCCTCCCCTCCCCTCCCCTCCCCTCCTCTCCCCTCCCTTCCCCTCCCCTCTCTTGACAGAGTCTCACTCTGTTGCCCAGGCTGGAGTGCAGTGGCACAGTCTTGGCTGATGGGACCACAGGCATGCGGTCCCATCAGGCGATCCACCTGTGCTGGCCTCCCAGAGTGCTGGGATTATAGGTATGAGCCACTGTGCGCAGCCTTGACTCCTTTCTGTCTTTAGATTGGAGAGTTTAAACCATTTAGATTTAAAGTAATTATTGATAAGGTGGGATTTATATTTGTCATTTCTCTATTTGGGTTTTATATGCTTTTTTTAATTCTCATTTCCTCCATTACTGCTTTTTTGTGTTAGTGTTTAGTTGATTTTTTTTTATCATGAAACTTTTGATTCTCCTCTCATTTCCTTTTGTGTAGATTCTGTAGATATTTTATTAGTGGTTACCATAGGTATTACACTCAACATCCAAAAGTTATAACAATATAATTTGAATTGATACCAAGGAACTTCAATAGCATATAAAAACTCTGCTCATGTAAAGCTCTGCCCTTTCCTTTCTGTTACTGATGTCACAGATAACATTTTATACATTGTCTATCCAATAACATAATTTTTTTTTTTTTTTTTTTTTTGAGACAGAGTCTCGCTCTGTCACCCAGGCTGGAGTGCAATGGCACAATCTCAGCTCATTGCAACCTCCGCCTCCTGGGTTCAAGTGATTCTCCTGCCTCAGCCTCCCGAGTAGCTGGGATTACAGGCACCCACCACCAGGCCCAGCTAATTTTTTTGTATTCTTAGTAGAGATGGGGTTTCACCAATATTGGTCAGGCTGGTCTCGAACTCCTGACCTCAGGTGATCCACCCACCTCGGCCTCCCAAAGTGCTGGGATTACAGACATGAGCCACTGCGCCGAGCCCACATAAATATTTTTTATGCATTTGACTTTTAAATCAGAGAAAATAAAAAGTGGAGTTACAAATCATAATTACAATACTTGCTTTTATAGTTGCCAGTGTATTTGACTTACTAGGAATCTCTGTTTCTCTGTATGGCTTTGAGTTACTATTAAGTGTACTTGCATTTCAACCTGTCGGTTTCTCTTTAGCATTTCTTGAGGGGCAGGAATGCTGGTGGTAACAAACTCCCTTGGCTTGTCTTTGTCAGGAAATGTCTTAACTCATTTTTGAAGAACAATTTTGCCAGATACAGATTTTTCCATGATAGTTTTTTTTCTTTCGAGCCTTTAAGGATTCTTTATTGGCTGATAATCTTATTGCAATACTTTGTATGGGACAAGTTGCTCATCTCTGGCTGCTTTCAGGATTCTCTCTTTTTTTTTTTTTTTTTTTTTGTGGTTTTTGACAGCTTAATTATAATATATTTGGTGGTTTCTTAGTATTTCCTATCAGGAGTCTGATAAACTTCTTGGATTTGTACACCATTGTTGTTCATAAAGTTTGGAGAGTTTTGACCATGATTTCTTGCAGTATGTTCTGCCCTTTCTTCTCCTTTGAAACTCCCACAATTCATTATGTTTGTCCTCCTGATGGTATCTCACAGGGTCCCTTAGGTTTTATTTACTGTTCACTTTTCTTCATTCTTTTTTCTATTTTTCAGATGGAGTAGGAGTCACAAGGAATCTACCTCTCCACCTAGACAACAGTTGTACCAGCAGCAACTCTCTGAAGTAACTATGTTGGAACTCTGGAGTCTATTCGAATGCTGTTACACCTTCCAAGGGAGAGCTGGGCTGGTAAATAGAGGTTAATTTCAGTCTGTGTCAGCTTTTAGTGTGATAGCAGCTACTCATTCAGTGTTACTTAAAACTGTAGCACGCAGCTGTATCCACATTCCTGGTGCGGCTTGCTGGAGGCTGGGTGGACAGTAAGAACTTTGTCCTCCAAATACTGGCTGTCGACACTCTGGTTGCTGATGACTGAGCTGCAGGTGCAGAGGCAGGTTGCCACTGTTTTGACCCTTCACCAGCTGAACCTCTTTCCAAGGGTTTTAAAGGAATAGCACCTGTTTTGTTTGTTTGCTTTCCCTTTTACCCCATTTATGAGTCAGATATTAAAGGATGAGGATATTCAAAAGCAATCACTTAGGCAGGGGAAAGTAGAAAGCTACTGCATATAACCAGGGAAAGACACAGCTAAGAAAAGACCTAAGAAAACCTTAAGCTTTCACCCGAGGCTGATCCTGATCCTGATCCTGATCCCCAGCACAGAGACAATTACAAAAGCCCAGCAAACATGGGGGCAGAAGGAGAATCTTATTTTCAGATTCACTACATTATAAGATTCAAATGTTCAATTTTCAACAACAACAACAAATGATAAGGATTTAAAATTTAATTTTTTTTAAGTGCCATAATTAAAAAGTCAAGGGATGTAACCAGATGGAATTTATGGTTCTGAATTGGATACTGATTTGGGAATACTGATTGTAGAAAAGTTTAAAGGCATGTGGTTGTAGTCCCACTTAATTGGTTGTTACTAGGCAATACAGACCCCATCTCTAGTTGAAAAATAAAATTAAAAAAAAAGTCATAGCCGGATGCAGTGGCTCACGCCTGGAATCCCAGCACTTTAGGAGGCCGAGGGGTGGATAACGAGGTCAGGAGATCAAGACCATCCTGACTAACATGGTGAAACCCCGTCTCTACTAAAAATTACAAAAAATTAGCCAGGCGTGGTGGTGGGTGCCTGTAGTCCCAGCTACTCGGGAGGTTGAGGCAGGAGAATGGCGTGAACCCAGGAGGCAGAGCTTGCAGTGAGCCAAGATCACACCACTGCACTCCAGCCTGGGTGACAGAGCAAGACTCCATCTCAAAAATAGAAAAAAAATCACAGCACATAGAAAGAAACAGGAAAGTATGGTCTATTCAGAAGAACAAAATAAATCAACTCCAACTATTTCCACAGAAGCCAAGATAGATATCTGACTTAATAGACAAAGGCTTTAAAACTATTTTGAAGTAGTTCAAAGAACTAACAGGGCTGGGTGCAGTGGCTCACGCCTGTAATCCCAGCACTTTGGGAGGCCAAGGCAGGCGGATCATCTGAGGTCAGGAGTTCAAGACCAGCCTGGCCAACATGGTGAAACCCTGTCTCTACTAAAATACAAAAATTAGCCAGGCTTGGTGATGTACCCTTGTAATCTCAGCTTCTCGGGAGGCTGAGACAGGAGAATCGCTTGAACCTGGGAGGCAGAAGTTGCAGTGAGCCAAGTTCCTGCCACTGTACTCCAGCCTAGGTGACAGAGACTCTGTCTCCAAACAAACAAACAAACAGGACTAAAGGAAGACATGAACGAAGTCAGGAGAACAATGTATGAATAAAATTAGGCTATCATTAAAGAGAAATAAAAAGGAGCTGAGGTCAGGTGCGATGGCTCATGCTTGTAATCCCAACACTTTGGGAGCCAAAGGCGGGCGGATCATGAGGTCAAGAATTCGAGACCAGCCTGGCCTCCATGGTGAAACCCCATCTCTACTAAAAATACAAGAATTAGCTGGGCATGGTGGCATGCCTGTGATCCCAGCTACCGGGGAGGCTGAGGCAGGAGAATCACTTGAACCCGGGAGCTGGAGGTTGCAGTGTGTCAAGATTGCGCCACTGCATTCCAGCCTGGGTGACAGAGCGAGACTCTCTCTAAAAAAAAAAAAAAAAAGGAGCTGAAATGAAATTCTGGACCTGAAAGATACAGTAACTAAAATGAAAAATTTACATAGAGGGGTTCAAAAACAGATTTGAAGGAGCCGAAGAAGGAACCAGCAAATTTGAATATATTTCTTTGTTAAATACCCATGGAACCCTGTTCCTTCTTCTTTCCCACTGCTTCCTTAGCTCAAGACTTCTTCATCTTAGGCAGCTTCCAAACTATTCTATGAACCTCCTCTTTTCCCTGCTCTAGTTTTACTTAGAGTGATCTTTAAAAAAAACCCAAATCTAATATTGTCACTGTCCTTTAAAATATCCAAGGGCACCCGTGTGTCTATAGAGTGAACTTCAGTTTCCTTATTTTAGCATTCAAGGACCTTCCTATTTTGGCTCCAGCCTACCATATTGCTTTATTTCACACCAGCCCCACATTCCATTCATATACTGTAACCACATTTTCTTGGGTACAAAGTCACTTACTGAAAAAAAGTTGAGCATATTTGGAAACCAAAATTCATTTTCTATGAATGGGATATCAACATATAGCATTGGTAGGCATTGAAACAGACTATAGTCTATTTTTAAAATGACTTGGATGATAAAAACAACATGTATATCATCACTAATCCAGTGGTCAATATTAGCATAATTCTGTAAGATACCGTAAATGTTGCATCTATTGTAGATACAATGTTATGTATCTAACATAACATCTAACAGGTTAGATTCATAACATTGTATGTAATATAATGAAACATGAAGTATGACCTGTCACTTGTGAGGTGTACTAGTCTGATATGTTTGACTTGAATCCACTGAGTCTTCAAATATAACTTTCTTGTTCAAGAAATACAAGGCTTCTAGGAACAAGCTCAATGACTTCATGAGGAAGTAACCACTCAGATAAAAACATTTTGCACTTCAAGTGGCCTGATTTCTACAGTGAACAAGAATCTTTTAATTTTTTTTTAAGTGCCATAATTAAAAAGTCAAGGGATGTAACCAGATGGAATTTATGGTCCTGAATTGGATACTGATTTGGGAATACTAGTTGTAGAAAAATATAATTTGGTCAACAGAATATTTGATTGTAGTTAGGTATTATATGAGAGCAAATTTTCCTGTAATATTACTCATTTAAGAAAGCCAACTGTAAAAATAACTTTAGGTTGACAGAAAATGTGAATGTGATCTAGGAATTAGGTGAGAAGAAAATGTACTGAAATAAGGTAGATATTTTTAATTGAAAATGGAGATGACTAAAGTGATCTCATTTTGAAAAAAAAATACACGCAGAAGGATATACTCTAAAGTATTAACATTGGCGCTGGGAATGCCATGTTTTTTGTTTTTCGTTAAAACATAGAGACAGGGTCTCACTACGTTGCCCAGGCTGGTCTCCAACTCCTAGGTGCAAGCCATCCTCCCACCTCAGCCTCCGAAAGTGTTAAAATTACAGGCATGAGCCTGTAATTAAAAAAAATTTTTTTTAATGCAATGCTTTTTGAAAAAATTTTATTTTAGCTTGTCTCTATTCTCCAAGGCATGTTGTATTGATTGTGTAGTACAATTTTATTTAAAAATGTATGTTAAGATTTACATAAATATTTGGGGTGTACATGAATCAAGAAATACATGAAAGTATGGGCACCAAAACGTTAAAAGTGGTTTTGTTGGGAGTTCAGGGGATTTTACTTTCTCCCTAATACTTTATTCTTTGAATATCTTGAAATGGACATTTTGTAACTGTATAAGGAGAAAGGAAGCGAAACTCTTTTTCTGCAGGGGTGCAGCCACTTCTGTTGTATTAGACAAATCACAGAGGGATTGCAACAGAACACAGCTTTTTCTTACTGTTTTTTCTCTGGTTGATCGGGATGCATTATCCACCAGAAAACACTGTAGATGACTCATTAACCAGGAAAAGAGCATATGCCAGTTGGAATAAAGAAAGGGGAAGAGTAAGGAAGAGGCTGTAGAATTATTTTATAAATTATCACGTCTTAAGAGCCAGGTGCGGTGGTACATGCCTACATACAGTCCCAGCTACTCAGGAATCTGAGGTGGTAGGAGAGCTTGCGCCCAGGAGTTCGAGGGTGGAGTGTGATACGATCGTCTGTGAATAGCCACTGCACTGCAGCCTGGACAAGATAGGGTCTCTTTAAAAATAAGACTTAACTAGCACTTTAATAATCATTGTTTTTGTTCCCCACTACATTGTACATTCATTGAGGACAGGGACTTTAAACTTCATTATATTGCTGTTGCTGTGTTTCACCTTTGAATGATACTAAAATAAAAATCTCATCTTTGAGTCACAATCTGATATAACCTTGTGCATTTCTGTCCTCTTGTGTGCCTTAAATGCCTTTAGGCAGCTATGTTGTACCAGTGGTTTTAGCACTTGGCAGTTGGAAGTTTTGACTTCTAGACTGCATTCTGGTCTAGAATTCTGGTCTAGACTCATTTTATAAAGCCAAATTACTTTATAAAATGAGAAAAATCGTACCATTCTCACAGATTTGTGGTAAAGCTGAAATGAGATAGCCACATAAAGACCCATCACAATCCCTGACACACCGTGCGTCCTCAATAAATGCCAAGTGAATTTTATTACGCTGTGAAGTACTGATTTTCAAACAGGACTTGCAGCACATGAAAGATGAGCAGGGGGATTCCTTGCTCAAGCACCAGTACTCTGAGGTTGTACCCTTTGTTCGGCTCAACAGGTACTACCCAGTCCGCTTCCATAGTCCCCAGTCCCGGCCGCCTGTCCAACTCCAGATACAGAGCGCAGCCGAGGTCCAGCTCACAGCCTGTGCACTTCGCGCAGGCGCACAGTCCTGAGGCGCGCTGAAAACCCAGGTGGGGCTCGGAAAGAGGAAGCTCCGCCTCGCTTCCCGGTATTGGGCCAATAGGGTCGCTCGTCGTGGTCGCGGACCTATGAGACGGGGCAGGGGGCGGGGCGGAGGGCGGAAGAAGTCGCTCTCACGTGAGTAAGGGGCTGGGGGGGCGGGGAAAGGGCGGCTTGGGAGGCCCAGGCGGTGGAGCCTCCGGGACGGCGAGCGGCGGGCGGCGGAGGAGGAGACGGCGGGTCGGGTAGGGCCGCGTTTCCCCTCCTCCTCCTCCCACTCTCCTACCTACCAACCCCAGGGGTATTTTCGACGGCCCCTGCGGAGAGCCAAGCCGTCTTCTTATCCCGCAGGGTCGGGCCAGTGGAGCTCCGCTCAGCTCCCTCGACGGGCCGAGTTCTGAGGGGAGCCGTGATTGGGGGGAGGGGGAGCTGCGACGGAGGGGAGAGAGCGCATGCGCAGGCTGGGCCGCTCTTGAGAGCCCCTGCCCAAACCGGTTCCCCCTGTCTGGGTGGGTGCCGGTCTTCTGAGTCTTGCGTATCTGGCCCTCCCTCTGGTCCCTCTGCAAAGCTGGTTTGTGTCTTGACTTTAATGTTTTAGGCTTGGTCCTATTTGGGAATCCAGCCGCTCCCCCCGCCTCAGTTTCTCCCCATTGCCCACTAGGCCCGTATCTGTGTCTTAAGCTACCTTGGGCCTCAGGCTGTCCTGGGCTACGCCTAAATTTCAAAGATTTGCTAGTTTTCACTGTCGCTTTGCCATCTCAGGTTGGTCTTTCTGTCTCATTTCCCCGTCTGCAATTAAAGTGTCCTTGGCATCCCAGTCTTCTCATCTTGAAGCAGCTACCCCAGTACCTCATCACTGTGTTCTTTGATTATCCGCACCCTTAACGGTTTTACGTGTTGAACCAAAGAATAACCTCAAGACTTCAGGAGTTCGCTGTCCATTGCCTGGTAGTACTTTGGTCTCTACTCTTCTACATCCAGACTGTTTATCATCTGCTCCTGCGTTTCACGCATCTGCATATCTTTGGTTACTCGAGAATTCTTTTTTGGAAACAAATGTCCTAGGAGACCGTGTTGAGTGATCATACTACTAGTGTTCCCGCTACTAGTGCTCCGTTAGTTTTAAATCATGTTCCAACTTGAATTTGAGGCCTTTTGACTTTCGTTGGCTTTTTATCGGGAAAAAAACCTGTTAGGGACAGGGTTTCACAATTCCTTTTACATTTCCGTTCACATGTATTTACAAACATGTGCCTGGAGTAGTAAGTACACAGTGAGTGAGTTTCCAGCTGTTTGTGTTTCGGAAGGAAAAAAAAAAGCAATGGAAGGTGAATGGAATTGTGTTTGTAACATTAAACTGATGTTTGAAAAGTAGTTGGGAAAAAAAGCTTAGGTACCAAGGATGGCTCATCCAACTTTTTTTTTAAACGAAGGACCTGTTGCCTTAGTTCAAGTTTGTATAAGGTGCTATTTAATATGTATTGAAGACTTAACTAGAGCTTACTTATAAAAACTGAAAATAGGGGCCGGGTGCGGTGGCTCACGCCTGTAATCCAGCATTTTGGGAGGCTGAGGCGGGCGGATCACCAGGTCAGGAGTTCGAGACCAGCCTGTCAAATATGGTGAAACCCCATCTTTACTAAAAATACAAAAATTAGACGGGCGTGGTGACGGGTGCCTGTAGCCCCAGCTAATTGGGAAGCTGAGGCAGGAGAATCGCCTGAACCCAGTAGGCAGAGGTTGCAGTGGGCCGAGATTGGCCACTGCACTCCAGCCTGAGCAACAGAGTGAGACTCGTCTCAAAAAAAACAAAACAAAACAAAACAAAATAGGGAAGAGAAGTCTTTATAAATCTTCCTTTGTAGACCACTTTGTATTAATAAAATTTCAATCCATGATTGATTTGTATATATTGGTAACATTTAAAATTCACATGTAACTTGAATTCAAGATAATAACTCAGATTCATAAAGTTGAAATATTAGTGGCATACAGTGATTCATGCTTGTAATCCCAACACTTTGGGAGTCTGAGGTGGGAGGACCGCTTGAGAATTTCCAGACTGCAGTAAGCTATGATGGGTGTTACCTGGGTGACACAGCCAGTTCCCATTAAAAAAAAACAAAAAACAAAAAACTGAGTTATAGGCATATTGCCAGTTCCCATTTAAAAAAAAAAAACCGAGTTATAGTCATGTTGTGGTGCACTTTCTTTCTTTCCTTTTTTTTTTTTTTTTTTTTTTTAGCTTGAGATGGGTTTGCTCTTGTTGCCCAGGCTGGAGCAATCTTGGCTGTGCAACCTCCGCCTCCCGGGTTCAACGATTCTTCTGACTCAGCCTGGGATTACAGGCTCCCGCCACCATGCCCAGCCAGTGTATTTTTAGTAGAGATGGGGTTTGTTTCATCGTGTTTTTTTAGTAGAGATGGGGTTTGTTTCATCGTGTTGGCCAGACTGGTCTTGAACTCCTGACCTCAGGTGATTCACCTGCCGCAGCCTCCCAAAGTGCAGGGATTACAAGCATGAGCCACCGCGCCCAGCCACTCTTTCTTTTAATTGTTTCAGTGTTATAATTCAGTTTACAGTTAACGCATTGACATTAATAGGTATATATTTGTTTGGAAAGTTAACCTGTCAGCTGCGTGCATTTTGGTATTTTTGGCATAGTATTTTGTTTGCAGTTTACAAGTGGTGTAGTAATGTAGTGGGAACAGAGACACCTGTTTCCTACCTTTTCTGCTGCATATTGAGAGTATTGTGTTATGCACTTTATCTACATGAGGGGACAGTTTTCCACACAATATATTAACTGAACTTTGTAGCCCAGCTTCTTTTAAATAAGTCTTTTTTTTATTCAGTATATTTCCAGCTAAAGGAAAGCCTCCTTTGGAGGTCTTATTATTTCCCACTAGTTTTAACAAGGAGCCTTTGAATACAGATTTCAGAAAATAGTTTAAATTGCTGCTACCGTTGAGTATCTTTGTAAAAACACTGGTGTGCTAAGGTTCTGACATAGGCTGCCCATAATGTTATCTTTGTAATTTCAATATAATCAGATATCATTAGCCTTCTCAAGCATGTGGAATAAATGAATACAACACACATTTTTTTTTTTTTTTTTTAAGATATAGGGTCTTGTTCTCTTTCCCAGACTGGAGTGCAGTAATGCTGTCATAACTCACCTCAACCTTGAACTTCTGGGCACTAGTGATCCTCCTGCTTCAGCCTCCCAAATAGCTAGGACTGCAGGCACCTGCCACCATACCCAGTTAATTTTGCTATTGTTTGTAGAGACTGGGTTTCACTATGTGGCCCAGGCTGTTATCAAACACCTGGCCTCAAGCAGTCCTCCCACCCTGGCTTCGCAAAGTGACAGCGTGACAACACTCTTAAGTAATCTTTTCTTTTTTTCTTTTTGAAACGGAGTCTCACTCTGTTGCCCAGGCTGGAGTGCGGTGGCGTGATCTCAGCTCACTGCAATCTCCCAGGCTAGAGTGCAGTGGCGTGATCTCAGCTCACTGCAACCTCCGCCTCCCAGGTTCAAGAGATTCTCGTGCCTCAGCTTCCCGAGTAGCTGGGACTATAGGTGCGCGCCACCACACCCAGATAATTTTTTTTTTTATTTTTAGTAGAGATGGGTTTTCACTATGTTGGCCAGGCTGGTCTCGAACTCCTGACCTCAGGTAATCCACCTGTCTCGGCCTCCCAAAGTGCTGGGATTACAGGAGTGAGCCACCACGCCTGGCCTAAATAATCTTTCTTAGTGAGACTGTACTTCAGGGATCGTTCCTATAGTTTGTTAAATAATCTTTCTTGGAGATAGAACTCAAATATTTAAGAAGTGAATTTAATGTACATAAAGCAGAGTTTAGCATGACATTTTGGTGCTTTGTATGTAGTTGCCTTGTTTTACTGAGTTTCCACAGTTAGATCCCAGCAAAAAAAAATTCAAGGCTCAGGACTTGATGCCCCTGGGTATACCTGAAAAAACACCATGTAAACATCACAGCTGTTGCTTTTGCTTTTTTTTTTTTTTTTTTTAGCATAAACCGGTTATCTAGTCATCCCTGCCACCCTAACCCCTCTCAGTTTTGTGTTGATCCTGAGATCATTATTGTTTAGAAACCTTGTAAATCAGAACAATGTTGGATAGACATTTAAGCTTACATTGTAACCAGTCATGTTGACCCTAATAGCCTTGTTTCTCTTCATGTGCAAAGACCAAATATGGAAGTGTGCAAGTGTTGAACACATTAGTTTATAGAATTTGGCCTGGAAGTTTCCCTCCTCTTTCCAAATCAACCATAATATTCTGAAGTACTCAGTGAAAATTTTTTGAAGATTGTTTGCCTTCAGACTTTTCCACCTAAATCCCTTTTTCTGATCACGATACAGTAAAATAAAGCCCTAATCCTACTTTTAAGCTCCTGTCCGACATTAAATACTATGTATTTGTCTGTAAAGTATGAGAAATATATCTTCTTAATTGTATACCTCGCCAAGAATTAATGCATAGTTGTTATGTATTTCCTGTTAAGGTTGTATCAGCATTTGTGTTATAAACTACTACTTCTTGGGTTCTGTAAGTCTTTGTGGAAATAAATTTTTCTCTGTACCTAGATCTGGCATTTCTGAAGGTACATTAACAAATGAGTTTCTGTGGTAACTTTAACATAATGTTACTAAGTCAAACCTTAACAACAATTTGACTGTTTTAAAACTTTCTTCCGTTTTCCCTTATTTATACATTTTGGTAACTATAACAAACAACTTATGGTTTATAATTTTGTTTTCCATTTTCTGAGGATGATCTTATATCAGTTAAGGAAATGATATGCAGAATCCTTCTTTGGGAATATATTTTATTTTTTAAGACTAGTAAAGTGTAGTAATGAGAAGGGAGAAAAGAGTAGAACAAGGAGTTTGAACAATTGAGATAACTCACTACCTTTGGACCAGCTTTGGGAATATATTTTAACTATCATCAAGGATAATAAGAGACAGCATACTGGAAGGCACAGAAAACATGTATCTTCTGCCAAACATTTATGGTTGCCTACATGTATTCCCCTGAAAATCAAACAGGTCATAGAAAACACAAATTATATTACTGCATTTATCTTAGACTTTGATCATCTATTGAATGATTTGCTTGCTTAGTGTTAAATTCATGTAGATTAAAGATAAGTGAATAATACATTTTATATCTGAATGTAAACAGATGCATATTCTAACAGGAATAGATTTTTTCTTTTTCTTTTTGTAAATAGCTTACTTAAATAGTTTTTTTTTTTTTTTTTGACACGGAGTCTCGCTCTGTCGCCCAGGCTGGAGTGCAGTGGCCGGATCTCAGCTCACTGCAAGCTCTGCCTCCTGGGTTTACGCCATTCTCCTGCCTCAGCC